CTGCGATCTCAAAGGCATACAAATAAAATATATTCAATTTTCTCCAATTTATTATTAAGCTAAATTGGTTGAATATTAATGCAATGTATAATTCTAAAATATTTGTGATCACTTGAATTAAACAACAAGATTAAAAAGGAACCTAAACCGATTGTCCAATTTATCTTATTAGGCGTGGTTTTCAATTACATATTCCCTTTAAACATGCAATATGGTGATCAATAAAAAATATAATAAAATAAACATTAATATTGGAAGCAATTTAACCATAATTTATTAGTCAAATAAAATATAAAATAACCTAATCATGATGCTAGCAATATTAAAATAAAATAAGATTAATTAAATTAATTAATTACTCACATTCCACGCGTTCCTTTAAATTGCTACATCATGAATAAACTGTTAGTAACTTCAATAAAAATATAAATCAAATGAAAATTAAATTAAATTAGATTTGATTTGGTTCAAACCCTCAGTCAATTATACCTTTCACGCCTTGGTTTAAGTATAGACTTTTTGGGTATTGTATGAACTCCTTGGAGTGTTTAAAGGAAGGAATAGTGAAAGAATGGGGAGGCTAGTGTTTAGGATAAAGAGGGAGAAGAGAATTATTTATGATCAAGCTTCTTGATCATTGGAAAATGGGTGATATGACCTCTATTTATAGAGAAAAAAGAGAGGTCGAAAAAACAAGATAAGATCCGAATTAAATCGGAATAAAACTCGATAGACAACAGTTTTTGCGGTTTTGTTTTTATCATATCTTTTGATCCAGAAATCAGAATAAGATAAATAAGATATGGTTGGAAATATCTTGAAGTCTAATTTATAACCTAGTTAAAATCAGCTTAAAATATTTTATATAATAAAAGATATGGTCGAAATAGTGAGATGGTGTCAGTTTTTGATAGAGTTTGACATTTTATTCATATCTTTTCCGTTATAGCTTGGAATTGATATTATAATATATCAATGGAAAGATCATTTCAAGAGCTATCCAACCATATAAAATTTGGATAAAAACTATGAGGCACGAAAATAATATCTGTCTATCTTTGAACATCTTTCAATTCGGATATAAATAGGATTTTCAAAAAAAGGAGTTTTATTCAATTTCAAACTATTTAATCTTATCTTTTCAAAAAGGATAATTAACATCTTTTAGAAACTTATAGAAGCTTATAAATCCTAATTGGTTTAGGAATGGGATTAAATAAATTGGACCCTCATAAATTCCCGAGATTTTAGAGCTTTAGGCAGCTATGTAGATAACCAACCCGAAAAATGAAAATGATGTGCTATTAAAAGAAATATCTTCTAGTATAAGATATTATGCCCCTAGGGCATCATTGTCATTTGAGAAGTTTCTTAGACACAACAACGTCTTAAGTCCGCATTACAAGCATATCGGTTGCAGGCTCCACCTTGTAGATATTCATGATAGATGGGGAAGGATAGTTGAGGGCCTTGCTATTTGGAACTTGTGAGTGGAAGACCCTCGAGTAAATGACCTCCTTGATCTTGTAAAGTTCATCTTCCAGAGGGATGCTTGCACCTTAGCATTACCCTTATCAAGGCATGCTAAGTCATCTTGGCATGCCGAGGGCTTGATATAAGCATATCCCTCGGCTAGGAATGCCGAGGGGTTGATAGATGCATATCCCTCGGCTAAGCATGCTGAGGAGATGATGGAAGCATAGCCTTCAATGGCAATTGATAGAAGTATATCCCTAGGCTAGAGGGCCTTGCTATTTGGAACTTGTGAGTGGAAGACACTCGAGTAAATGACCTCCTTGATCTTGTAAAGTTCATCTTTTAGAAGGATGCTTGAACCTTAGCATTACCCTTAGCTAGTCATGTTAAGTCGGCTTGACATGCCGAAGGCTTGATAGAAGCATATCCCTTGGCTAGGCATGCCGAGGGGTTGATAGATGCATAGCCCTCGGCTAGGCATGTTGAGGGGTTTGATAGATGCATATCCCTTGGCTAGGCATGATGAGAATATGATAGAATCTTGCCGAGGAGATAATAGAAGCATAGCCCTCGGCTAGGCATACTGAGGAGGTTGATAGAAGAATAGCCCCCGGCTAAGCATGCTGAGGAGATAATGGAAGCATAGCCTTCAACGGTGGTTGATATAAGCATATCCCTAGGCTAGGCATGCCGAGGAGATGATAGAGGCATAGCCGAGAAGGCCAAGGAGATGATAGAGGCATAACCCTTAACTAGGCATGCCGAGATGGTTAATAGAAGTATATCCCCCGGCTAGGCATACCAAGGAGATGATAGAGGCATAGCCCTCAGCTAGGCATGCCGAGAAGGTCGAGGAGATGATAGAGGCATAACCCTCGACTAGGTGTAGACACCTAAAAATGTCTCCCCAAAACCAAACCCGATGATGAACAACCTTTCATCGCCATTATTGGTCGGGTTGAGTATTTAATTTTGGAGTGCTTAAATCCATATTTACATTTCATAAACCAACCCAAATTCTAGCCCATTTTCCCCAAACCATAACTTATTTTTCTCTTTTCGTGCCTTAAACCAAAAATAATTCATTTCGTGTCCTTTAAAATCATTCATTTCGTGTCCTTTTTATAAAAACGTTTATTTCAGTTTATTTTGGTCCATAATATGGGTCCAATGATTGATTATTTGGATGGGGCTTGAAAAGATCTTTCCAACGATATATTATAAGCCCAAATCCGAGTTATAACAAATAAGTTATGGCTAAAATATTAAACCGAGCCCAAACCAAACCTAAGCTCACCTTACCTACGACCCAATGATCGCCTTCCTTCGTTCAAGACACCCTGGGTCGCTAAATAACGTTATCAATAACAAATTTGTTCAAATGGTTGGGGCAAGATGCTATCCTATACTCAATATTTGAGATAGTGTCCTGGCGAATCGCTTGAATAACATAGGGCTCGTTTAGCCCTCAGCCTATCCCAAAAGATGGGATAGCCTAGCTCTCATACATCTCTAACTTTGAGCTCGATTATCCCCTCATCCTATCCTAAAAGTTGGGATAGCCTACCTATTATACATCTATAACTTAGGGTTACACTACTAGAAATGGGCCAATTTCCGACCGAATTATGCCGACGGACATGATTTTCGGTCGCAAATCCTATAATCAACGACGGATTTAAGTTTGACGCTAATTTCGGTCGGAAAACATAGTTAACGACGGAAATTTCCTCGCAAAGTTTCCGACCGAATTTAATTCGGTCGGAAAATTAATTAGACAAAAGTCAAGGGTTTTGATGTTGGGTCCATTTGCGACGAATTCGAAAGAAAGAGAGAGGAATAAATAGAGAGGAACGAAAGAAAGAAGAAAGAAAGATCCGCCGCTGTCCTTCCGTTCGCCGCAGCCGGAGATCCGTCTTCCGTTGGTCGACCCGCCCTTTTGTTGGTCGGCCGCCGGTAAGTGTAGGTTTTGTTTTTTTTTTTTTTTAAAAAATATAAACACGCCTCCACTCCACTACAATTAACCACCGTCTGCAACAGCCACCACCCTGCGCCGGTCAGAGGTTCCGCGTCGCCCAACCACCGCCGGCGCCTTTACAAGCATCCACCACCGCCGGTCAGTGTAGGTTGTGTTTTGTTTTTTTTTTTTTACTTTTATTTTTAAATTTTAGTCTGAAAATCCTTCGAACAGCCACCACTGTCGGCGCCTTTACAAGCAGCCACCACCGCCGGTTCCTCCTCCATTATTGTCCTCGCTCCGACCACCACCATCTTCACCACCCGCCGTTCTACAACCGGTAATTGTACATTTATTATATATATATTTTATTTTTAAAAAAATAATTGTACCTTTATTATAAAAATTGACATATTTTTACTATTTGTAGGATTTGAACATTTACTTGATTTGAATCTCTATAAATAGTGCAGATCTTGAGGTTAGTGACATGACATTTTTAAAAATTCTTAGTTTAGTTTATTTTGTGATAATTTTAAGTTACTTTATTTTGATTTATTTTATTATAATAATGGTTGATATGTTAGTTTAATTTGGCTTATCATAATAATGTAAGACATGGCATGTGAAATTATAATAATGTAGGGGCTTATCATAATAATGTATGACATGATATGTTAGTTTAGGTTGATATTTTATTATAATAATGTACGGGATTATATGTTAGTTTATATTGGTTTTGTTTAGTATAATGATGTATGTTAGCTTAGTTTAATTTGTGATAATTTTATAATGTATATTAGTTTTGTTTTATGTAATGTAATGTTCACTAGTTTTGTTTAGTTAATGTAATGATTAAAAATTTTTTGTATCAATTTAATTATGAATATAAATTGTTTACATACGATTATTTATATTAATTAAATGATGATTATGATATATTTGGTTTACTTATAATTATTAATTTAATTCAATTAATTGTGTTCTTTACTTTATAATGGTTGTGTTATTTGCTTCAAATATTTTAAAATGAGCGTGTTATAATGATGGATGTGTTATAATGAATGTGTTATAACAATGGATGTGTTTTGGGCTTTATATACTTTTGAATGAATCATTTGCATAATCATTTGCCTAGATACCCGTTCAAGTCATACTCATTAGGAGTATGACTTGAATAGTCCCCGGTTGGGACTGTCCTTAGACCTTTATTCTCACTTAGGTGGTGAATGTATGCCTTGTTATTGATTCTAGGGATTATCCTGCTTTGTCATTTCTCTACAATGTTCTCTGGATACATATGACGGGTTATCAAATACCCTTGATCGTGTACTTGGAGAACTTAAGGGAAATGCTGCCGGATTTTCCATAGAATTGAAAACCTGGCATACATTCGCTAGTGAGATTAAATGTCCAAGGATGGGTTAGGTTGGAGTGATAAGGACCTTTGGACATCATTTACAATCTTATTTTCATATTCATAACATTTTTATGGATAATGAATATTCAATACGCATTGTGACTAATGTAATTATACATATTCGTGAGTTGTGTAGAAGTTGTAATCATGAAACGAACAGAACGTAGCTGGATGTATGAAAGGAAGGTTGGACATTCTATTAATCCGGATTTTGTGAAAGGGGTAGATGAATTCCTTAAATACGTTGAAGATCATCCCGAGAGCAGCAACCCGAATGAAGTTAGGTGTCCATGTTTTAAATGTAAGAACAAGCGGCTATGGGATGCGGAAACGGTTAAAATTCATTTGTACCGCAAGGGTTTTGTGCCTAATTACTATGAGTGGATGTGTCATAGGGAAGGGTTTTCGGGAGTTCCTGAAGGGCCGTCAAATGAATACCGTGAAATGGTTTTCGATGCTTTTGGTCATAATGAAGATCAAGGGCATTCTGAAGAGGCAGAAGAGGAGCCTAATGCACAAGCTAAGCATTTCTTAGATTTATTAAAAGCTTCTGAACAACCATTATACGAAGGGAGTTCGTTGTCTGTCTTAGAGATGGCTTCCCGAATTACTAGTCTTAAGTGCGAGTATAATTTGCCCCATAGATGTGTTGATGGGTTTGCTTCTTTGGTCAATGAGGCTATTCCTAACAACAACCATATGGCCGATACATTCTATGAGGTGAAGAAGATTGTAAAGGGGCTGGAGTTGCCTCATGAAAAGATTCATGCATGCCCGAAAGGATGTATGCTATTTTGGAAGGATGATGTTCAGCTATCTTCATGTCGGGTGTGTGGTAGCGACCGATACAAGAAGACTTCCAAAGGTAGCTTAGTGCCTTTGAATGTTTTAATTTACTTTCCAATCACACCGAGATTGCAAAGGCTCTATGCAACCAAGAACATTTCGGAGGAAATGACATGGCATTCAAAAAATCCTCGAGTTCAAGGCACAATGGCGCACCCTAGTGATAGTGAAGCTTGGAAACACCTTGACAATTGCTTCCCAGAATTTTCCAATGAGCCTCGTAATGTTCGACTTGGCTTGTGTACAGATGGTTTTGCTCCTCATGGTAAGTTTGGGGGACAATATTCTTGTTGGCCTGTCATATTGACCCCTTATAACTTGCCTCCCTCAATGTGTATGAAAAGACAATTCATGTTTCTTTCATTGCTTGTTCCTGGTCCTAAGAACCCTAAGGGCAATTTGGATGTGTATATGCAACCGCTGGTAGAAGAGTTGAAGCATTTATGGGAAGTTGGCGCAAATACTTATGACATTTCAAGGAAACAAAATTTTAATCTTCGAGCAGCCATCCTGTGGACCATTAGTGACTTCCCAGCTTACGGTATGTTGTCTGGTTGGACCACAGCGGGTAAGAAGGCTTGTCCTTATTTTATGGATAAAAGCAAAGCATTTTGGCTTGAACATTGTGGCAAAGTTTCTTGGTTTGATTGCCATCGCCAATTCCTTCCAACACAACACCCTTTTCGAAAAAGCAAAACTGCATTTTGTAAAAACAAAGTCGAAAAAGGTTCACCGCCACACATCATGTCAGGTGAGGAATTGTGGGAATGTGTGAGACACCTTCCAAAGGCAACTGATGGAGCGGAGGCATTGAAACACCTAAAAAAAGCAAAAAAGGGGTGGTTCAAGCAAAGCTCGTTGTGGGAACTTCCTTATTGGAAGCATTTTCTCATCCGTCACAACTTGGATGTCATGCACATTGAAAAGAACTTCTTTGATCAGCTAATCCACACCATAATGGATGTGAAAAAGCATACATGTGACACGCCATCGGCTCGAAATGACATTGCCAAATATTGTAAACGGCCACAACTTCATATGGATGAAGATGATAGAGGAAAAGAGTTTATGCCAAAAGCCCCATTCGCTCTTGACAAGGCTCAAAGAAAAGTGTTGTGTGAATGGGTTAAACAGTTGCATTTACCAGATGGATATGCCTCCAATTTGAGCAGATGCGTAGATTTACAAGCCTGTAAGCTTCATGGAATGAAAAGCCATGAATGTCACGTGTTCATGGAGAGGTTGTTGCCCACTACTTTGAGGGAATTGCTCCCTACCCATATTTGGAATGCGGTTACAGAGATCAGTCAATTCTTCCGTGATTTGTGTTGTTACACGATCACAGTTAGTGACATGGAGCGATTAGAGAAAAACATAGCTGAAATCCTTTGCAAGCTTGAGAAGGTTTTCCCTCCTGTATTCTTCAACTCTATGGAGAATTTACCTATTCATTTGCCATATGAGGGCAAGTTATGTGGTCCTGTTCAATATAGATGGATGTATCCCATTGAAAGGTAAATCAAAGTCCCATTAATTTCTTTCATACAAACCCTTCATAGTCATGATCTATTTACGCAATTAATTATACTATTTTAAATGCAGGTTCCTTAATCACTTGAAACGTAAAATTGGGAACAAGGAACGAGTTGAATGTTCAATATGAAATTCTTATCTCACCGAAGAGATAGAAAACTTTTGCTCAAATTACTTCCAGGCGTCAGTTGACACAAAAACTCGGGATCTTGGTCGAAATGTGAATGTAGACGTGGAATCCACATTGGAGAACACTGACTTACCAGAGTTGTTCTCAGAGGATAGCGGTCGTGTCTCATCTGAGGGTAAAACCCGGTACTTAGATGAAAAGGAACTCGAGTGTGCTCATTTGTTCGTTTTACGAAACTGCGACATTCTTGGTGAATACGAAAGGTATACGTGGTCAGGATTGAAATTTTTTCATAGTTTTGAAGAATTAAATAGGTTGAATTACTAATTTTATCTCGTGTCATTGACCTAATAGGAAGTTTGAGGACTACGTTCTTAGTACCCGGCCTTTTTTTGCGTAGAGAGGAAGTCATGGAGAAATGTGACGTCGAATTCTCTAATTGGTTTCACCATAAGGTGATAGAATTGTTCTATATGTTCTTTAAATATGACTTTTAGATATTGCAATTCTGTGTAATTAATTCTTCTATTCTGACGTAAATAGGTGGTTGAAGAGAAACCAAATTCGGATGTCCTCCAAGCTTTGTGCATGCGTCCTTTCAAGCGTGTTCGAACTTGGAAGCGGATTTTTGTTGGTGGATTTAATTTCCATACACATTCCTATGGTAAACACAAGTCTACGATGAATTACGGTGTTTTTGTGTCTAGTGAGGACGGTGGAGAGTACTTTGGCATTCTAGACGATATAATTGAACTTGTCTACACTGGTCCAATTAAAGAGTATAAGACTATACTCTTTAAGTGTAGTTGGATGGATTGTGGTAGGGGTATGAACATACATGAACAGTATAAGGTTGTTGAAGTGAATCATACTAAGAAATACCCCAAGTATGATCCCTTCGTATTATCTTATCAAGTGACCCAAGTGTACTACACATCCTACCCTAGCCTAAAACGGGATCGAGTTCAATGGTGGTCCGTGTTTAAAACACAAGCAAGGTCAGTGGTTGATGCTCCAGTAGACCTTGAGTTTTTGCAGGCACCGTCCCCAGAAGTATATGCAACGCTTTGTCCACCGAATGACATTCCTGACTACGACCCAGTTGAGGATGACGACGAAGATGATGACGACGACTTAATAATCTCAAGTGAATCAGATGATGAATCCAGCGTCGACTCTAGTGACAATGACGAGGATACTGAAATCGATGTGTTTATAGATGATAGTAGTGATAATACTAGTAGTGATAGTAGCGATGAAAGCCACGAGTAGGAAAATGTGGTTGTTATTGTAAAATAAATAGGATGCATTTGCTTGTACTTTGAATGCAATTGTCGGTTTAATTTGGTTGTTATTGTAAAACCAATTATGGAGTTGGTCGTTCTATTTAATTGCTTTTACATCTCATTGTACTACTAATTTTTGTAATGTTAATAATATCATAGCATGTTACTAACGTTTTTTTCAGGTTGTAATGGTGGGAGGGAAAAAAGGAGAAACGTCGAAGAGTAGAAAAGGAAAGGAGAAAAGACAGGTTTTGATATATGATGATGATGAGGAAATGGAGGATGCGGAGGAGGCGGAAGATTTGGGTGACGACGAGGATTCTCAAACACAGATGCAGATTGAGCATCATGAGCAACAGCTTCAGGGGCAACATGCCTCGCAGTCTTCTCAGAGGGTGGTACTAGACCCTGCCACGTGCTGGTATATATTTAGTTGTTATTTCAATCCCTTTGTATCCATATTTTATATCATGACCTATGGAATACTCTAACATGAACTACTTATTTTCTTTTTGATCTTGATGTACGTTAAAATAGGTTTGATGATAAAGCCATGGTAAAGGCCATCTTCGGTACCCTAACAGGCTACTATCGAAAGCCTTGGAGGAATTACGGAGAAGTTGATGCTAAAACAAAGGAGCATTGGTGGAACTTGTTTTGTGTATGTCATTTTATACTTACAACTATGTATTACTAATTGCGAAGTTTGAGTTTTGATTGTTAACTTTAAATGTTTGTCAATTGCAGAAGCAATGCACATGGGCACCCAAGTTGGAGGACCATGTGAAGACAACCTTCGAATCCAAGTTCGCATATCGGTTGAAGGACATGTTTCACACAATCACACACAAGATGAAAGGTCAGAAGCCGGGCTGGCTTATTGATGATGTCCACCGGAAGATGATGAACATTGTTGCCAATGATGATACGTACAAGAAACGGTCTGAACAAAATAAGAAGAATAGAAGAGGCGGATCATTGGACAATATGGTTGAACCAACCCACTACCAGGGTTCAATTTCAGTTGTACAACATGCAAAAAGGATGGTTAGTTTCTTTATAAGGCATGTAAATAGGTAACAATTGTGGTTCACATTGGAATGACAAGTTTTATTTGTTTTTGTGCGTGTACATTCAAAGGCGGCGAAAAACAAAGGGCAGTTACCTACTACACATGAGCTTTTCATGAAGACGCACTTCAAGGAGGTCCCTAGGAAAGGAATGGTGCCTGCCAATGTCAAATCCAAAAACATAGCGATAACAATTTTAATATAATTTTGTATGGTTTACTTATTATGTTGGCTTAAACTTAGAAATATGGTTCTTTATTGTGATTTAAACCCATAATATGTTATAAGTATGTAAATATGAGATGGTTTGACCAAGAATGAGTTAAAAAGTAAAGAAATGTTGGAAATAGGCATGTAAGAAGCCATAAAGGCTTGAAATGGCTTCATTTTGAGGATAAAGACCCTTAAACTTAGAAATATGGTTCTTTTATGTGATTTAAACCCATAATATGTTATAAGTATGTAAATATGAGATGGTTTGACAAAGAATGAGTTAAAAAGTAAAGAAATATAGAAAATAGGCATGTAAGAAGCCATAAAGGCTTGAAATGGCTTCATTTTGAGGATAAAGACCCTTAAACTTAGAAATATGGTTCTTTTATGTGATTTAAACCCATAATATGTTATGTGTATGTAAATATGAGATGGTTTGACAAAGAATGAGTTAAAAAGTAAAGAAATGTTGGAAATAGGCATGTAAGAAGCCATAAAGGCTTGAAATGGCTTCATTTTGAGTATATAAACCCTTAAACTTAGAAATATGGTTCTTTTATTGTTTATTGATTCCATTTTCACTTATATGTTGCTTTACTTGTAACTGATGTTGTTGCTAAATTATTAAAACCATATATAATTGTATAATGTATTTCTTGTAGGAGTCCTACCAGAAGAAGGTTGAAGAAGCCACCACCCAAGGGATTAAAAAGAGTCCCAATGAGTTTTATTGGGAGACTGTGGGTGGTCGCAACAAGAAGGGTCGAGTGGGGGGACTTGGCGAAAGCGCATCGTTGTACTATAGCGAACGGATGGGTCGGGTGTCTAGGTCTTCACAACAGTACACACCATCCGTTGTTTCTCAGATGCAGGATCAGATGGAGCACAGGGTCGAGGCACTTCGTAGTGAGATCCGCAGTGAACTCCAGAGTGAAACACGGAATGAACTTCGGAGTGAAATGGAAGTTGAGATGCAAGCTCAAATTCGAGCTGAAGTGGCCCAAATGGAGAGGAGAGCCGAGGAGAGGTGGAATGACTTCATAAGTCGATTCGGCAACAACACCGACGGATGTTCCACCATGCAGCCTCAACGTCGAGACCCTAGGGATGATTTGGGTAGTGGAGGAGCAAGCCAGGGTACCCCTACAGTTTTTTAGCTTAGCTTAGGTTTGTGTAGTATGGACAAGAACTTAATTTGATCGATTTTATGTAGCGTTTGATTATGTTCCCGCTTTTGTAGAACTTACTATATATTATGTAGCTTTTGGATATAGCTTTTGAGAAAATAATATTTATTAATATTTTCGCAATTTGATAATAGTTTTAATTATCACAGGTATTTGGTGCAGGAACATACGCAATTATAATAATATTTGTTAATATTTTTGTTAGAAAGGAAAAGCAGTTTGCGACGGAATTATATTGGTCGGAAGTACTTCACCAACGACGGAAAACTGGAGTTAAATCCGTCGGAACTCACCTCCCTTTCCGACGGATTATTCGGTCGTAAACCAGCGACGAAATAAATTTCGTCGCAAAATACACTACCAGCGACGGAAATATTCGGTCGGAAAATAAGCTTTGCGACAGAATATTTCGATCGGAAATTACTGCTTCCGACGGAAATATCTGTCGTTGTAAACAGCACACCGACGGAAATTTCGTCGCAAATTAGCGACGGACTAAACTAAAAAGTCAATATGTTACGCGACGGATTAAAATCGGTCGTAAAATCCGTCGGAAAACACCTTTCCGACGGAATATTCCTCGAAAATTCAAGAATTTCCTATCAAAGGTCTAACGACGGAAACCAACGACGGAATTCCGTCGCAAACATGATTTGCGACGGATTTAGGGCCTTGAATGAGGGAAAATTTCGGTCGGAAACAGGCCATTTTCTTGTTGTGTTCGTTTAACCCTCGGCCTATCCCAAAAGTTGGGATAGCCTAACTCTCATACATATGACTTGTGGGTCGTTTAGCCCTCAGTTTATCCCAAATATTGGGATATTCTATCTCTCATACATCTATAACAAGGGGCTCATTTAGCACTCAGCCTATCTCAATGTTTGGGAAAGCGTACTATTTATTCATTATTTTAACTTAGGAACTCATTCAACTCTCAGCCTATCTCAAGTTTTGGGATAGTGTACCTGTAGGGAATAAATTTCAAGCGTTAACCCCTAGCTTGTACCCCACTGTGATCATACACTAAAGTACGGTGGCGTCCAAAGGGAAGAAGATAGAGCAAAAGAGTCGCCAACAAGTTTTTAGGAACTTGTAAACCGTTCATAGGATGAAGGTTACATCCCTTAACGATCCAAGAGATCGTCAACTCCATAAGGTCTAGAACCAAATAAGGGTTCGGGGATGAAGGTACAAATCCAACCTAAAAGAGATTGAACCTGCCCTAATAATATGCCTCTACTTTATTCAGATCGTATTCATGTGCGCTTTTCAATTAACATGCAATCAATAGGTTTACCCTAAACCTGTTTAGTCTATGTTGGTTGAATTTAATGCACAAATAAACTATTATTGGTGATCACTTGAATTTATAATCACAATTAACCCTAAACAAGATTATTAAATATCTTATTAAGCATGATTACAAGCACAAATTCCCTTTAAACATGCATAAAAAAAGGGTGATCAAGCAATAACAATAAATAATAAGCAACATAATAAATAAATATCATGATAATAATCATAATAATAATAATAATAATAATCATAAATAATCACGATTATAATCGTAATCATGTTCATGTTAATATTAAAGCATAACAAAAATAGCAAGATCCTAGGCATGATACTAACAAGATTAATAACAAACCCTAGCATGTCACTAAGCAATAAAAATCAAATCTTTAACCCTAACATGATACTAACAATCATAAATATTAGGAAGTGAGTAGGAAACATCGTAACAATCATATTTAATATTAAAATTACCCTAGACATGATACTAGGAATATCATAATAACAATTTAAACATGATTTCTACATCATAATATCAATAAATCAATAAAGTACTTACTTTGATGCTTCGTACCTCTTTCTAATAACAAAATACACACGTTAGTAACTTCAAGGAAAATAATAAACAAACAATTAAATTAAATAATTGAAATAGAAATTTGGGACCAAACCCTCAGAAATTAAACCTTTCACGTCTAGGGCGAAGGCAACTTCGAATATGGCTAGGTGTTACTAGATCTTGCGAATGCGGAATTTTGTATATGAAAAAAAACATTTAGAGAAAGAAAGAATTGAATGAAAGAATTCATAATTAATGAATGACTGAGAGAATGCTAATTAAAACTGATTGTAGATGATAACTCGTGAATGATGAGAATTGGTGAATGAAAACGGAGTTTTTAAGACGCTATTTATAGACAAAATCAGCCAAATGAGATAAATTATCAAAACAGAGTCTGACGCACAAAAAACAGAGCTGGCGCAAACCCTGGCTAACTGGCGTCAGGCACCAACACAAGCGCCAGGCGCCAGGCCTGGTTCCAGGCGCCAAAGCCTGGGGTCAGGCACCAAGCCTTGTTTTAACGCGTTTTTGAAAATCAGATAAGTTTGCCGTATTGGAGGATAAAATCATATAATTTCCTCTAAAATGCTATTTGATTTTAATTAAAACTCTGAAAAGTCAACAAAAGTCAATTTATCAATGCTAATTGAATTAGGAATGA